TCTTTTCTTTTAAAAAATACCCAATAATGCAATCAATATAATAACGTAATGGAAACAAATAACGTAATACTAACTAAAACTCATTTTAATCATAGCAATCGCAAATATTTTCTCTAATTTGGAAATTACCAGCAATACTTCTTCTTTTGGGAATCAGGAAACTTAAACATTTTATCTTTTAAACTTGTCTCATGACTAAACTTCTGTACTACCAAAGTTAGTTTTCCCCATTTTAAACGTCTGCTTGCTTATCCACTTTTCCCCTACATCTCCAAAATCACAAAACGTGACAAAAACTCAACCAAATTTGCACTCACTAAACAGAATACTTAAACATTCTGACCCAGGGCCAATCATATCTAACCCCCGACCAAAGTCAAACTTAAAGCTCCGGCTTTAAGCCTGATTGAAAATTGGGGGTACATTGGGCCCAAAAATAGGGGAATGCGGTTGCCCAGATCCTAGTGATAGAGTACTGGCAAGAGAGAAAAAAAACGGAGGGAACCGAAAAAAGGAAAACTTTTTTAAATACACTTAAGCCAGGATGGTTGGCCAGGTTTTGGAGTGCGGAGTGTCCTGGTCAAATCGGCCACGACTTTCAGTCAAAAGTCCGAAGCTGCTTTGAACTTTTCCCGCCCACATCCCCACATCCCGCCCACTTCCTCTCGCTTTGGCAACAAAGTTAACTTGATTGAACTTTGTTTGGCTTTGCCCTTAGCTGCTTTCCTTGTTTCCCCTACATTTTTTATGTTGCCCACCAATGTTTTTCTTGTTCCTCGCATTTTCTTCTCTCTTGTTGTATGTTGTTTGCGCTTTATAAAACTAAATGGAAAATAAATTTTGTTTGCACTTTGTATGGCGAAAAAATAGAGGAAGACTGTGAAAAGAAAGGAAATGGCAACTTGAGAGTGTGAAGGAAAAAGTTTTTCAAATGCCTTGGGGCGGCTATCCCACGGGGGTGGCGCATCGGTGGTGTTTCCGATGGACTGATGGCCTGACGGACTGGGAGGAGTGTGTGGAAATCCCTGGCTTAATTGTGGCGCATTTCCTGGAACCCTTTTTATTATTTGATGCATTGTATCATCAGCAGACAATAAACTGCGAAATTCGAAAAGAAACTCCCGAAGGCGGGTAACTCCGAGCGGTCGAAGGAAAGGAACTGCGGCATGCACTGTGAGGATACTAAGGGGTTGTTTCAGTAATGTTGGAGAAAAGAAAAAATACCTGAAGACTGGAAACGTCGTAAAAAATATAGAACCATGTTAGGGATATTTTAATTAAATTGAAGAATATATATGTATTAATATGAATTGAATTTAAAAGTAAAAAGTAACCAATATTTTGATGATTTGTTAATTTCCTCTCTCTGTAACTTTTCCTATCGGGGTATTCCCTTCGTATACTTCGCCAAGAGCTACCATTCCCGGTTTTTTGGGGTTGCTTCCGCTGCAGCAAACGGCCGCCTGCAATCCGGCGATAGCAATCCCCTGCTCTCTTCATATTTCCTGGCTGTCTGGGCTGCCTTCGAGCTCTTCTAATTTGGGGGCGTTTAAGCCGGTTTTATTTCACTGGAGTGGTAAAGTTGAGACAGGGCGTGTGGTCTAAGGGTTGCTTTAAACCAATGTACATACGTGACTTGGTTTTGGGCTTCTTTTCGGGGGCTGTCAAAAGTCACCCTCGGTGATTTTTTCGCTTGGCGGGAACTGAAACTAAATAGCCAAAACTGCTGACTGCCTATCGATTTTGGTCACTTATCGCTCTAATGCGATTATAATGCTTAAATATTCCCAAGCTAAGTTCTCTCCAGCTGAGATTCCCCCGTTTGTCAAAGCGTGAAAAGTACAACACACCCCAAAGCCAGAAAAAAAGAATATTGACAGCTTACGAGGCCTTAAGGGTTGCCTTCTTTGATTTGGAGTTGGTTCGGTACACACCTGCAAGAAAAGAGAAAAAGGGTTGCATTAGTCGGGGAAGTTATGATGAAAAAATGCCAACGATGTGGGGGATGACGGCCCGATGAAGGCATCAATCAGGCATGCCATCAATCAGTTTATTTAATCAACTAGAACGTGATGGAGTTGACATGTAAACATTGGGATATGCTCAGGGAATCCCCCGAGAGGATGGTACTGGATTATGTTTGGGTTAGAGAAGGTTTTGTTATTTTGCTGGATGAATTACGGCTCAGTGCATCTATAGGGGTTTCCTTTGTAATGGAACTAGCTTACAGATTGGCTTGCTTTTATGTATCCCCTAGTTATCATCGGTGATTGAACTTCCTTTGATCCTGATATTTCCAATCACATAAAATCTTATAGGTTAGGCAGGTATTTAACATTTAAAAATACTAAAAATGTGACAATATATTGTACATATAAATACTATTATATCAGGTTTTCTTTCAATACTTGTTTAGATATATTTTTTGGAAAGCCTTTCTAGAAAGACTTTCGTCTTAGTTGTCATTCTATCCTTGCATTTGACATCCTTCCCGCTTGAATAACTCCTGATTATGCTCCTTTTTCAGAACGTTTATAAGGATTTACGCCCCCTATTTGGAGCCCCTCCCTCTCCGCCATCGTATGTTATGCCCATTAGGCCTAATATGCGTTAATGCTATAAATAAGGCCTCGTCGCCATACGATTATGGCATACTAACAAAGTTCGTTTTGTTTTTTGCACTCTGTAGGGGAAGTCTCGGGGAGGCTGCTCGAGTCCCCAACTTCTTGGCAGGGCTCCTCCCGACACTCCGCTAATATGAAATGTAATTTACAGTTGCGAGGAGACAGCGCTGACAACAGGGCCAAGAGTCTTTAACGTCTTTAATCCAATTTCCTAGCGACATGAGACGTCGCGGACCGAGAATGAATACAAATGCGCCGTACGTGTTAAATTTTCCCAATTAAATGGGTTGGCAGAGAGTTATTTTCCCCGTCATTTGCAGCTCGTCCCCTAATCGATATTTATATTTTGTTGGGCCATTGACTTAATTTCTTCGTCTCTGCTTTCTGCACAACACAAATTATGCAATTCAAATTAATGCTGCCATTATCGGGGAGTTGAGGGTTATCCGAGAGGCTTCCCCTCTGAGTCTTTTGTGTGTTTTCTTTTCTTTTCATTTTTTTTTTTGGTGAAATGAAATTAATCCAGCTTGGCAAATGCCAGGCACGTATCCCTGTGGATGAGTCTCCATTTCTGCTGTGTTTGTCTTTTGTCTTTCGTTTCTTTTCTTGTCGGCTTCCCCACACCAGGCCTGGTTTTTCAATAGCTTTCCATGCTGGCTAAAACCAATCCATGGCATAGAACAAAAGGCCTCCGGAGTTGCCTTAATTCTGTGTGCTTTGAAATCGAATTAGGGTACTGTGCGGATACATGTATGGCATATATGGATGTAAGTGTGTACGTGTGAGATGACCTCCATGCACAGGAAAAAGTTCTTCCATCAGAATAGACCATATCAATAAATGTTTTTATATCAAAGCATTACGGAATATTGAAGTACAATTGCAATACCCTCATAAATATATAGGTCACTGTGAACAATATGTTTAGCATCTAAAATTTTGGAAGTCAACTTGATGAAGGTAAGTTACCAACCAATAAAAAGTATTTTTCGAGATACTCTCTATCAAAATCCATCAATTATGGCAATATTTTTTTCTGTGTGGCGTTGTCATTTCGGTTTTTGGTGTTTTTCTGTTTTTCGCAATTTTAGGTGAGGGCCGGGGAGTGGGCTAAATTTATGCCCACAACCCCACCTCCAAGGACTTTCACACACGTAACCTGGTTGACAGCTGTTGCCCAGAGAAGGGGGTTGGGGAAAAGTGGAGATGCTGCTGCCATGGCAAAGATAACCACCAAAAGGCGAAATAAGCAAAAATATATATAAGTATATACTACAGGACATATAGGTTTAGGGGAGTGGCGTCGTTTGTAGGCCTTGCATTGTTAGCAGTTGGCAGTTACCTTTCGGTTAAGTCGGTTGAGGGGTGTCAGGGACGGGGGAGGGGGATGAGACATGGCATAATTGGGCTACATTGCCATTTCACTTTTGCCCAACTGCTGTTGCAGAAGAACAAGAAATCTAACGTTAAGGTGGAAAATAACCAGAATTGGTTGAGATGGGCTAACACAAATGTAAATGCCACGCAAACGGCATTGAATTGACCCAGTTTCTTGGTGGGAAAACAGGGGTTAAGTTGGCAGAGGGGACCAAAGTAGTGAGGAGGTTTTCCTTAAAGATCTTTAAGAATAAAAAAATAAGTACATCAACTTATGTTGATGATATACCTTGTTTTTCTCAGGAAATATTAGTTTTATTTTCCATTAGTTGAAAACGATTCCTTTTCCTTCCGCACCTTTTATCTAAGTACATTGAAATCTTTATCAATTCCCATTTAATTTTCCTTTATTGCCTGTCTAAACTGCTTATTGGCATAGTAAATCTACATCAACAAGACGTTTTCCATTTCCTAGCACGTATTTTTCCGCTCGGGTCTTTTGTTTTCCCTCCACACACATTGGCACCGACATCTTTGTCACCTGAACATCCTTCCGCTTCCGTTTACCTTCCTGTTGGGACCCCTATTCCTCCCCAGATTACGCAGCACACATGCACGGATCCTCCTTCCTTCGACCCTTAGGAAAACCTATCTCTATAGCTTTTTGTTTGTGCTGAAAATGGCTTCCCCCAAATTGGCCAAGGCCCTTCGCCTTCCAATTCCCATTTCCCCTACCTTCCGAAATGGCCGTCCGCTGTCTTAACGGAAATCTTCGCCGGCAATTTTCACACCAAAACGGAAAACACTTCCTACTACTTTAGACAATCCCAAATACCTTCATTATAGGGGGCCAGGAATCGGAATCGGCGACGGAATCACAAACGCAATCGAGAGACGGCATCGAAATGCCCTCCAGAGCATAAGCGTCTTTTATTTTATTGTTTTGTCAGCGCTTAAAAGAAATGTTTTTCCATTTAGCTGAACACTTATGAGTACACAGAGAGAATTCTGACGTTCTGATCTGAGTTGAAAATGTTCTTAAAATGAGAACGGCATTTTTTGAGCTCAAAATGTTCTCTTTGTGATTGAATCAAGTTGAATTTGTACTTAAAATTTGGTTAAACCAAAATTGTTCTCAAATCAAGAACGAAATGTTATACATTTATCACGTGGTTCTTAAATCAATTTCAATTTCTTCTCAGAAACCCAATAATCTCAATATGTTCTTAAAGTAAGAACGGGAGGGACAAAAAATAGAACGAAAAGTGAGTTGCATTTCGACTTGAAATGGTGTGTTGCGGATTTTTTATAACGCGTTAGTATCTTTCGGTTAACAGCAAGCACGCGTTAGACCCTTCTACTTTGCTCTTCTTCTTCTGAACCATTCGGCTGGCACATTTCATCAGCGTTTCGATTGGTTTGCAAAAGTTTAAAGTTAAAGTAATGGAAAGTGAAAGTGACGAGCAGTTGTCAAAGTTCCTGGAGGATATTAAAATGGAGTCCGTAAGGAAATTCCTTGAAGGTTAGTATAAATTCCTAAGTTCATCAGCTCTTTTACTCTCATTTTTTGTGCTAAAATAAACGTACGTATGTATGTATGTATGGTATGTACACATGTTGTGAATTTTATAAAGTTGTAGATTTAGTTCTGGTTAATGAAAATGTATTTATAATTTGCCAGCAATCAGAAACTACAATTTTTGATAGCCATTATAGAGCGTATGAAATATTAAATGAAAATGAAGACTCACCTATTCTTATTAAAAATATAATTTCTTTCTCTAGTGCACCCTTACACAAATACTTATTAAATAATAAAAAACATTACCTTAGATTTAAATATTTATAAGCTTGTATATATACCTTAATGTTATAAGAGATTTAAGCCTGTAATTAATCACATATTATATACATATCCCATATATATTACAATTCAATAAAAGTAAAAAACTATTACAAGCCAAATATTATTATTTTAGCGTTTTTTTGGGAAGGGTATTCAATCTAGTATTTAGCTTATTTCAAGAACGATTTGAGCTCATTTTTTCCTTTTACAAGTCTAAAATGTTCTTCTTTTGATCCCAAATTCAAATAAAATCAATATCAAAATGTTATTATATTGATCCAAATATGTTCTTAAATTAAAACCAAAATCAACTTGAAAATAGAACGAAATCATCTCATTTCACTTTTTTAGTTCCTACCATTTCGTTCTAGAATCAAGAACATTCGGATCAAAATAAGAACATTTGTGCTTACACGGTTTTTAAGAACGAATGTGATCAATTCAATCACAATGTTCTTGGTTTTTCCTCTCTGTGTACTGTGCTCTGCGGATACGTTTTTGGGATTTAAAAAGGAAAGGCAGAGGAAAATATGAGGGAAATGCGAGTGTGCTTAGGGCCGAGTGAGTGTTTGTGCCATCGACGACGACTTTTCACACCACATCAAAAGGCGACGAGGCGAGTGCACTCAAGTGTATAAACAAAGGCGTTAAGTGTTTAAGTGCACGGAAATATCAGAGCCATGGATTGGCCTCGAACTCGAACTCCGATTCCTAAACACCCAGCTTTAATTTCGCTTTATGGCGCTGGCAGTTTAAAAGGGGGCCAAAGGAACGCTAGAAAGATACTATAGAACGGCAGACACAAAGTTTAATTGCTGGCAACAGCTTGGAAGTAGTTACAGATAGAGCGGGAGCCACATAAAAAACCGCATTGGGAATGGACCACTCCAAAGAAGGAAAAAAAACCATGAGCCAGGCAAAGAAATATAAAAGAGCAGGGCAGATAGTCCGATAGAGACATTGGTGTATAATTTTATTGGCGCTCTGCGGATGCCAGATGGCGCCCAGAGCTTCCCCCTCCGAACTCCCCGTACTTACAGGTGGCTTATGGAGGTGCCCTTCGGGGAGGGGGTCTTATTCCTGCAGTTGGCTTAATTCAATGAAGCGGCTTAGGGCCACCATCAGCTGAGGCCAGCTTAAGTTAACAGTTTAAGCCGCAGCGCAAGTAACTAAAGCTGGTCTCTGGCCTGATTAGCTTAATTAAGAGAACGCCTGAGTTGGCCAGAGAATCCCCGTGGGAAGTCAACAGCTAATCAGCCAAGGATGGGTGAAAGCGACTGTTGATGGATGGCCCAGGTGATCGATTTCTAATTCAAATAGTAAGACATAGGGCATAAAGACAGAGGAAGATGGATGATAAATCACTCAACTATAAAGTCACTGTAGAGTGATTGGTTTATTAACGAAGTGAGATTCGCGTGAGTTAGAATGGCTCACGTAAATTACACACAGGACAATCCCTTCTAATCGCAGACTAATGGCTAACTGAAAAAACACCAGCTTTAATGGCCTTCCTGGTCCGCTAGCTCTCTGCGTTTTTAATTGCTTGGAAAATGGCAACGTAAGTAACAGTTAATTGCCCTTAAGCAGCCATACCGGAGCACTTGTACCCCCAATACCACCCCATAATCCCCTCCCAAGAACCGAACACACCTCCATCCCGAAACCCCAGTGCAGTAAATAGTTTCGACGTTCGTTTTACTCAGTCTTTTTGCTGCCCATAATTAGATGCATGACTTGGCAGGGTCTTTTTATGTGCGGTTCGCTTGGTCCGTCTATAAGTCGGTCTATCCGTCCCCCTATCCCTCCCCATATCCATCCTTCTCGAGTTGCCGGTGCCGGCTACTCAATTAGCCAGAAAAGACATTAAACTTTCGCCCGGGGCAGCTGCAGAAGTTCAAGACTCCGACGTCTCTCCATGCCTAATGAAGTTAGTGCTGCACTAACCAAAAAAAGGCACAAAAAAAACATCATGCCAAAACAGCTAAAAAAATAAACACAACCATTTGGGAGCGCCACTTTTTAAAGCAGCTGCCGAAATTGAAAATCAACTTGAATTCCCTTCGCCACCTTTTCGCCGCTAAACGTACGCCATAAATAAAATGCAAATTTTTTCCAGAAAACCAAAACAAAATTGCTTGGTTCCCGGGGCAAAAAAGGGGCGGAAAAGGGGGCGGGGCTCGCTGCACTTGTCCGTGGCTTTTCCACAGTACGTGACTGGTTATCCCATATAGAAACTACCTCCCCCACCGGAACCTTTCCTGTTGCTGCAACATATTTTGCGTATCAAATTTGTGCAAAATACTTACAGCTCGATGGAATTCTATTGGGAAATATTTTTCAGCAGGGCTCCGAAAAGGGTATGCCCAAAAATTTCAGGAATGCTGGCTATTTAAAAGTGTCTGGTGCGCTCGAAGTGTTTTTAGGTTTGAATATTCTTCACACTGCTGAAAATGTCTTACCCAACGAGCAAAAATAAATTTGTCATTAAAAACTATTACTTATAAAAAGGAATATTTAATAAATGAATTCCAAATTCTATCAGAATTTCAAACTTATCTATTCAAGCTCGCTTAATAGCTATTATTTAATAATCCCCAATTTATCCGTAAGCTCCTCTGACAAAAAGAGTATGCCTGGTTTGCCTTATCACCCGGAAACACTTGCCATCAATTTTTCAGCAGCTCTCTCCCCAAATCTCCCACTCTCGTGTGGATTTGGGACCCGATCTAGGTGGCTAAATTCTCGCTGCTCCAGAGCTCTAAAGTGCATGGCGAACCATTAAAAATGAATTGCCAGAGCATATTTTATAAACGAAAATCATTTTCAGCAGAATTTGTTGGTGAAACAACAACCAGCGGCGGCGGCAACTATTAATAACAAAGTGTGGAGAAGCGAAGGCCCCGCGAACTCCCCTAATACAATCATATAAATTACACTGCCAGAGCAATCAATCAATGTCAAAGTCAGACTGAGTTGCGCTTATAGGCCCAGGGTCGTCCGAAACTCGGAGATGGTAGATGGGGTTGAGTTTCGGGGGTCGGGGTGGCTTTAAGCTAAGCTGCCACGTACTTGGCCGCTCATCAATTTCAATAAGCCGACCTCGGAGGGAGCTGGCAGTCCGGCCATTCCGGACAACAGACCACCGGCGAACCATTAGCACCTAGGCCAAGTGGCAGCGGCATTTGTCAAAGTCCCCCAATCTCCCATCCCAAAGACCCGACATCCTCGCCTGTGTTTTGCATTTTAAATTGTGGCACAAATGAAATTGAAAATGGCTGCTAAATATGTGCAACAATGCGACAACATCGCTCAATTGCCAGCTCCTTTGTCTTGGGCGTATCTGTCCCTGTCCCTGTATCTGTAACTGTGCAAGTATCTGTATCTGCGTGTGGTGTCAACAATGGCAGAACGGAGCGCTTTGGGTGGCATTTCATTGACAGCAAGTCATAAATTCTACAAACGACAGCCGGCAAGTGGTGAATGACAGTAGAAAAGGAGTGGAGGGAGGTGCGCAAGATCCACATAGGATAGTTTTTGCTATATGCAAATTTCGGGTACAAAGGATAAGGATAACTAAGCGGAACCCTTATTCTGCACTCCTTTATGCTCATGGTAAAATATTATTGTTGAGGAGGACCTTCATCTAGACAAAGGTTCACGTTTTGTATAAGAAACTGGTATTTCAATTTATGTCCTTTCAATTTACATAATATTAATATATTTAATAAATGCTCGATAGTAAAACATTTATAGTAAAATTATAAGTGTAAGATAATCTTTAATTCAAAAAATTACCTTCAGATTGGTAAACTTTCCAGATTTTACTTTCAATTAAACCTTGTTAGCCAACCAGCTGTAGAGCTCTTTTTTAACCTACTCAATCTTGTCAATCAATGCCGGCTTAGCCTTTCTTTCCTAACCACAATGAAAACCAATTCGTGTTCCCACAACTATATAGATAATACCCAAAGACTTTCCCTACTCCCTGGACATGCCTCATTGTGTCGTTCCCTATGATCTCTTTCTTAATCACTCTGAACTCCAGTTCCAGACTGATGCCTCATCAATCAATCAATCACAATGAGGTCTTTTGAAGAAAGAAGAAAGACAATCACTTCGGAGAACCGCACCACAGCATCCCGCTCTAATGACGGCCGGGCACTTACGGTATCTGGAATCGGCTAAATCGGGCCTTCCACTCGGAATTAAAATGTAGCTCGCCTTTATCGCAGGGACCACACCCATGGCGGTTCCCTGGAACAGATGCAGATGCCCCTGCCATCCGATTTCAACCGCACTCGGGACCACAAAATGCCGGCATAACGGCAACACCTGCCCATCAGTTGGGTCACTTTGTCCACGTATGTGTCTGCGGAACGGAAGTGCATAGAAGAAGAGCTAATGGCGGTGGAAGGGAGAAGAAGCAGGATCCGACCAGCAGTAGGGTAACATTTGAGAGGGGGGACAAGTTGGGAACGGGCACAAAATCGTCGGCGCCGCATTTTGGAGCAGCTGTGGATGCGGTTTATTCTCCGACTGAGGCTGCAGCGGAAGTTTTAACAACCGCCGCACACACACTCACATGCACTGAGAAAAATGTGTGATATAATAACATAAGAGATCCGAAGATTTTTAAAACATTATAAATAGATATTATTCCAGATCAGAGACAAAGTAAACATTACTGATTTAATTGATATTCTGCCACGTTTTTGTATTTAATATATTCTATTGGCTTTCCACTTACTATAAGAAATAATTCGGTATCACCTATAAGGTCTCAAAAATTGTTTTACAAACACTTAACAAGTTCGTTGGTCTGGTCACTTGCTCCTAATAAAATGAAGAACAGTCTTTCTTATACATAAATAAATATTTCGTAAATATATAATCTTAGCTGATTTTAATGATACACTGCAGTTAATATTTTAATATTTTGTATTGTCTTTTTTGTATCATATCTATCAAAGGTCTCAAAAATAATTTGATACAAAATCGTGTGTCTTTTTACTTATTCCTTATGAAGTAAAGAACAACCCATCTAAATTTGTCCTTTCCTTTCCTCAGTGCAGCTGCTGGGGGACACACACATATGGAAATTAAAATCAATTGCCAT